ATTGTACAAACCAGCAAAGTTTGTCCAAAATTATAAAGCAACTCGGTTGTTTTATACTCATGGATCCACCAAATTTGCTGTAATGACTGGGTTCACATGACTTGCTTAACCACGGGGGCTATGAAGTCACGATGGCTTAGTCTGTTGTCTGAATCTGGTGCAATATACAGGTGGTTTATAAGTCATCACAACAAATCATGGCTTGCTGCAGGATTTACTTGGCTTTGCATGGTTGCTGGGATGGTTCAGATGACACTAATTCCAAGTGGCTACACAGCCACTTTAGAATTGAGGTTACTTGGGGGTTCTAACTCTGCTGACTAATGATCAGTGCATCTTCTCTCCCTGTTCCTCTCATCAGTTTTCTCAAGGAAGCAATCCTACTTTCCTGGAAACCACAAAAATGCAGGGAAAGAAAGCTGAAATGGGGGAGCACACAGGGCAAAGCGGTGCCCCACTCCACTTGGCGAACAACTTGCTATGCCAAGGGAGGGGACAGCTACACATGGAGAAACGCTCTCCCCACTGGCTGGTCTCTGCCCTTGCTTGTTTTGGCAGTCACTGCAAGGGTGGTGCCTTTGCCCTGGCCTCTTCCGGAGCCGAATTCTCTGCTCTTAGCCACTATTGCCCCTTGAATGCAGCAGCAGTTGTCAGAGAGGGGCTATACTCAGGCTGGAAGGTGAATGAGTGAGTGAGTGGGGGGGGGTGCCTTGCAGAATTCCCCCCTACACATTCATGAGAAGCTTCTGAGTTGGGCTGGAGGGAAACAGGGTTAGCGGAGAGGGGTGAAAGGAAGCAATGCAGCAGCTCCTTCCTACTGTTGCAGCACTTTTGGCAGCAGCAGGTGGGAAAGAAGTGTTCTGCTCTTGTGGAAGGAAAAACAGAAAGGCCTGTTTTCCATCACCTCCTGAACTCCAAATGGAGGTTGAGCAGACAGCACATGCTGGACCCCAAGAGCTTCCCCCTCCATGCTTGGTGATGATGGGAGAGTGAGATTTAGGAGCAATGCTGTTCTCCAGACATTGACAGATGCATGGGGGGAAGCTGATGACAACCGCCACTCAGAACAGAAACCCTTTTTGCAGCTCTTGCCAAGGGGCTCTTGTTTTTTGGCTTGTCCATGGCTTCTTGTGCCAGCTGTGTTTGGGTGACAGAATAAGCCACCTAGGATTTCCTAAACCCTAGAACAAGGGAACAAAGGGAAACAATGCATTTTTTTCTTTGGTAAAAATCACTGCTGCCTAGTTAATTAAGAGAATGTTCTGCTCTGTTCCCCTTTGGCAGTTTTACTGGGGGGGAAAAGGCAGTGTGTATCTAGCTTTAAAGATATTAGAAGATTTGAAGGTATTAGAAGCTTTCCACAACTACAGAATGTCTACAGATAGGAGTTGTCTGCTAACATTATCCATTTCTGATCTATGACATTGTATAAATGTTCTATTGTTCACATGAAGAGGGGTTTTTTTGGCTCTGATCTTATTGATTGAATGGATGGCTGTGTTTGCATAAATTGATGTTTCCCCAGGGCACCTCCACATTTCTCGATTCCACTGTCCTACAGGTGACCCAGAATACATATTTTATTTTATGTGACTATTTGCAAAGCAAGCAAATATTGTGCTCCTAATTCACCATGTATGTTGGCCTAAGGTTAATGCATTTTCTGGATATTTTTATTCTTGAAATATCATATATCATATTACTTCCCTGTGAGGCCATTTTGTGAGGTGAAGACCTTAATTCAGTGTTTTATGCACATACTCTACAAGAAAAAAATGGAACCAGAGAAGAAGCTGTTTTATGTCACCAAATATTATATATTAATGAACAGGATTATTTTATATAAGAATGTATTTGGTGCCGCAAATGAGAACCCTACTATTTGACAGTATCATGTCTCTAATTCTAATGCCATGACCATCTGTATACCCAGAGTTTAGAAAGCAAGTGTTAGCCATTAAACAATACTGAGAAATATTGACCAATCCATGGCATATGACAAGTTTCATGAGTAAATTTGCTAATGTGTTACAATGGAAACAGTGGGCCTAATACTTAGAACTGAATTGTAAGGGCTTCACACTCTTAGTCAGATCTGTGGCTCAGACTTAAATGCATACTTACTGGTTCTCAATTTTAAAGTGGGAAAAATCATAATCAAATTCACAGTTTGAAAATAAGACTGCAAATTGTCATTTTGAGAATAACTGGGAGTATGACCTACAGCAGGGGTATAGAACCTCTCACAGCCTGAGGATCAATTTCATTTCTGAGAAGCTTCTGAGGCTGCATTCCAAAATAGCTGGGCCAAAACACAAAAGAAGTAGAGCCAAAAATACAACCCCCAGCATATTTTAATTTAGAGCTCTTATTGCCAGCAATTGAGCATTATGAGAGGCATTTTAAGTGTTTTAGAACTGGGAAAAACTGCACTGAAGTCAGAAAACCGCCAAGTGATCGATGGTTAGAAGGAAGGGGGCATGGCCATCTGAGGACACCCCAAGGGTCACAGTGGGAACCTTGGAGAGTTGGATTGGTCCCTCAGGGTTCTATATCACTAGCCTACACCATAAAGTGGGGCTTCAGATTACATGTTTCATGTGAATAATAGAAATAGTTCGTAGACTATGCTTTATCATAGGAAAGAGAAGTTCCTCCTATGAAAGTCAGAATAAATGTTCTATAAAAACAAGGTAAGTGTTGTTTTTGCCAAATATATATAGTATATGTAAAGTTTTCTTGCTTAAATGGCAGAATACATGCTATATATGTAGGCTTGGGGCTTGTTCAGTTACTGATTACAGTCCAAACAGAACTTCATTTTGTTTTTTAAATATAGACTGCTAAGACATTGTCAAATTGAGTTTGATACTTTCATCAATGACACAGCCAGTAGAGTAACTGCTATCACACTTCACTACAAATGATGCACATCAATTGATTTTTAAAGGTATTAGTATTAACTTTGAATTAAGCATTTTTGTAGATTATGCATAGAGGGTGAAGATATGAAATATCTCTGTCTTACTCACAAAACCATCCTATGAGATAAGGCACTTATTTCTCCCAACTTCTTACACATCAGGAACTGTCACTGAAGGGCAATAGCTCTTCACAATAAGGGACAGCTTCCAACCCCACCACAGAACTTATAAAGTACAGCAAAGTACAGCAATGTAGGATGAAGCAAACATAAAGGAGACAAATCCAGCCCATCACAAACTCATGTCACCATATCCATATTCCTGTATCATTTTGATATGTGATTTGCATGTTTCCCCACACACAGAAGAACTTCTAGGCAACAAACAAACAAACAAACACCATATCTAAAGTTGCTTTCAGCTTATCTATGGCTTGACTAAATGAGACTATGAATATAGGACCACTTCAATTTGGCATCCATCCACAACAGGGGTCCACCAAGGCTCACTATCAGAGACCATACTTCCTGTGCATAAAACTGAATAGTCTCAAGTAGCCAGGCTGTGAAATAAGTGAGATCCATGTCTACCAAGGTAGACAATACCAGATGAGATGGTAGCAATGCTCTGACAGCCCATGGATTTTGCAGCCCTACTACTAGGGTAGGCAATACTGGATGAGTAGGACCAATAATTTTACTCAGCTTAAGTCATTTCATAAGTTAAGACTGCACCTTTATTCATGCATAATATTTACTTATCACAAACAGTTCTTACATAAACAATGCGATAATGGTAGCCACAATCGAAAACACAATATATAATGATGTAGCTCACCTAACTCAATATACGAACATGTCAATGAAGCTTGGGGCGGTTTTAATAAAAAGCTGACTGCTATGAATGATGGGATCCATCCGTTGTGGGATGCAAGCCTAGAATAACCACAAGCACCTCCAGAAAAAAACGTGCCACCAACTCTGAAACAACCTATTGCGGTTCAGTTGTGGGTATTGAATTTCAAAGCCAGACAACTGAAACGGAGCTATAGGAGGCAATAAATAGCCCTCAGAAAAGGCTCCATTTGCAGCAACAATCCTATAAATCTGTCTTGTTTAATTCTTTCCACACATTTGCTTACAACTCTCCCCAACTCTGACCATACAGACACAGACCTGCAGGGCCATAAAAATAACTGCCCCTCCATCTATTATCAATAAATACCGGGGCTGTCTGTACTCAGCAAAACTGTTGAAACGATATTTCTGCAGTTTCTTTCTCTACCCCCACCATGGTCCCCTGTCCAATATATTACCAACATTAACTCTTTATCCACCCAGTCCAGCTCACGACCTTGCAGTCAGCAATACTCAACATTAAGGGTCCTCTACCTATCTGCTCACAATTTCAACATGAGAAAATGAATGAACGAACGAACCACGGGCGGAAATTCGAGGTGCTCGGGCCAAACCCGGGCAGCTTTTACACCTACCCACCCCAACCAAGGCTTTTCAGGCTGTATGATCCAGTCTTAGTCTATCTGAAGCCCCATTCATTTCAAAGCAGTGCGTGTGTGTTTGGGGAGGGGGTGTTTCTCCTCTAAGTAGGCCTAGCACTGGACACCCCACGTACAGCCGGAGCGCATTATTTTGTCTCCCGTCCCTTACGCCGCAAAGTCTTTAAAATGCTTTACGAACCGAGATGTTGAGCACTGAGAAATAATTCACAGCGCGCCTTCCGCCTAAAGGCTGCAAAAAGAGGGAAGGACACCACCAACCTGGGCATTCATAAGTGGGAGAGAAAAATATCTCCGAAGGGAGTTCAGAGACTCACTTGCCCCGCAGTAAGTCAATCGGGCTTTTGTGGGAAAACGCTGGGGGGCACGTTTCCCCCTCCCCTTCCCTCAAAACCTCGCTGCGGGGGCGGCAAGAAGCAGCCAAGGAATGTCGCCCTCACGGCGGCGGGGCCTCTTTGGCGAGAGGACCAAGCGCGAGTGGAAGCGCCCAATCCGGCCTTCCTCCTCGCCCTAGCCAACCTCTCTCCTCCGGCTGCTCAGCCCAGGGCGGCCAGACTTACCTACTCAAGCCCCGGCTGAGCTGCGTCGGCCGCTGAAGCTGGCGACGCTGCGAGGCCGGCGCATCTCCCTCTCTCGCTCAGGCTCGCTCCCTCAGCGCTGTGCCGACTCCCAGCATCGCCTCACTTCGCCCGGGCGAGTGCTCCCACCTCCTTCCCTCCCCTGTGCCGGAGTCCGCGCAGAGCCCCCTCCCGCTGCTGCTGCTGCTGCTGCTGCTTCCCGGGCCTGGGAAACAGCTCTTGCCTCAGGCCCTGAAAGAGAAAGAGCAGAGGGGGCGGGGCAAAGCGGGAATGACAGCGCCACAGCCAATGGTACGCAGCGGCAGCCTCTCGCCCTTCGTCCTACCACGAGCCACTGGGTTAAGGAAAAGGGCGGGGCCGACGAGGAGCCTATAGCAATGCGGTCTTGTCGACGTTCGCCCATTAGAAACCGGAGCGCCAATCCTCGGACACAGAAGGGTCCGAGCCGCGCCCACCGTTCTTCCTCTCCATCTTGGCTATGGGTGGATAGTGCCCGGCCGTGGGGCAGGTTTCCGGCGGAGTGGCCATTTTGGAAAAGGGAAAGGGACATGGCTGCCAGGCCAGCGGGACGGAGGGAAAGAGACTGTTTGAAGGGAGAGCGAGGACGGTCATATCCTGAGGTAATGGGGGGCGCCCTCCGATACGTGTATACCTGGAAGTAAATGCTGTTTGCCGTCAATTGAGTTTCTCTTTCCAAGTAAATGCCTATACGGCTTATTCACCCACTTGGGAGTAAGCCCTATTGAACTAACTAGGTACACGCGTATCGAATCGGGCGCACGGAGCCCGCGGGCGCATCATTACCGACCGAGTGGGCGGAAATCAAGTTTTGTCATCTGCGTTTACTCGGAAGTAAGTCCATCTCGTTCCCATGACACTTGCTCGCGCACGTAGCCGTGCCTTGGGCTTGGTTTCTTCAACGAAGAAGACACAAGAACCCAGAAGAAGAGCCTTGTGATAGCTAGAAGAAAGAGGAGGAGGAGGTTTTATTTGGGCGCAAGCTTCCTTCAGCGACCTCCGCTTCAGCCTCATTTGGAGCGGCGCGGAGAGCCTCGGGGCTCATTTGCATGCGGCCCATGATGCTCGGCGCGGGCCCCTGGGGGCGGGGCAGGTGCGCGCCTCTTTCTCCCGATGCCGTTTGCGCCTTTGCAAGCCTCAGTCACGGCTCGCTCTGGTAGCCCCTTGATCCAGATTCCACTTCAGCTGAGTAGTCACGGTGGCGGGACACCGTAGCGAAAAGACGTTTTGCCTGTTCTGAGGAAATATTTGTGAGAGAGGAGTGGTCTGTTCCGGAGAGCATTCTAGAGTGGGAAGTTTTTTCTCCAAATTTTGGAGGCTCCACGCGGGCCACTTAAGGCTATGGTATGAAACTGGGATGGCATAATTAGGTATGGTTAGTGCATTGCAATGCGGCCTGCCTGAGGAAGTCTTTGGATTACTAGTCTATACTAGGGACGTGTGAAGAGTGCGATCATGTACTAGGGAATTATGAGGAGTCTGGTGTAAGTGGGGGAGATTCATGGACTTCCATTTTTAAAAACTTTGCATTGACACCAGGGAATGTGTGCAAAATTCAGGTCTCTGCTGTGCAAATTGTGGGACAGAAGCACAAAGCTGAAATTATCAGATAATTCAAGGCAGGCAAGATGGGATGTGTGCATATGCAGTGAGAAGAGAATGCTTCCATACTGTCATGTTAAATGCTCCAAAAGAACAGCAAGAACATAAGAAAAGCCCTGCTAGGTCAGATCAGATGCCCATCAAATCCAGCATTCTGTTCACATCAGCACTCTTGCACCCATGATTCCCGGTCACTGAGGTGCATTGGCATAGCAAGAACAATGGCTCCAATCGAACAAGTTGCTTCGGTTTGTGAAAATTGTTCTAGAGAGATACAGTTCTCTGCTTCAAATCTGGTAAACATTTCTAGCATTTTTGCAGAAGGCAGCCCAGACCATTTTTGGCTGTCAGGTCAGAAATGTGTCAAAACTCTTGAGCTTAAACAGAATGAGTTTTCCAGTGTTGTATATCTCTATCAATACACTTTTATGGGAATAAGCCCCATTGAACAGTGCTGCTTTGTTCTGAATTGGCCCATATAGAATTGCTCCTACCCTGTCCCACCCCCAGTGTCTATAAGGGCACATTCCTGTGCATTCCTAGGCCTTCAGTTAACAGCTGGATGGGGCATGCTGGGGTTTATAGGACTTTTCCTCATCTAAACATGTATAAGGTTGCACTTTAAATCTGTCAATTTAAGAGTAACACCCGCAGGCATCAGATAAAATGGCCAGAATAATACAGCTGCTCCTATTGTTATTATGTGCAATCAAGTTGTCTTTGACCTATGATGACCCTATGAACGAAAGCCCTCCAAAATAGCCTGTCCAGAACAGCCTTGCTCAGCTCTTCTGAATTAAAAAGCTGTGGCTTCCATTATGGACTTCTCATAGTTGGACTTCCTTTTCTTCTTCTGCATTCAACCTTCCCAATATGATGGTCTTCTCCACGGAGTCTTGCCTTCTCATGATGTGTCTGAAATATGACAGCCTCCGTTTTGTCATTTTTACTTTTAGAAAAAACTCTGACTTGATTTGATTTAGCACCTTCTTGTTTGGGAATCAAAGGAATAATGTCTTCTGGGTTGCCCCTGTCTGCCTGCTTGTTGACACTCTCAAAGAACCCCAATAGGTTAGTGAGACACCCTTGGTGGAAGGTTGCAGAAGGCATGCTGACTTTTCATCACCTGGCAACAGGGATGACACTGCTTATGGCACATAAGCATAAATGTGACCAATTAAGGGAAAGTCTTTGATGTTTTATATGCTTGTTGACATCTGGCTAAGTAAAAGATCTAAATTTCATTTAGGCAGGGATGGGGAAGTCCCCATCTGGTTGCTGCCCTTATTTCTGGTCAGAGATATTGGATTTCCCCTCCTTCCTCCCACATTTCAAGTGAGACTTTGATGAAGGCTTTCAGAAGCCCAAGAAAGCAGTCCTGTGCTCCCTGGGCAAGGACACCCCCGTCCCCATCCCATCTCAGCCAGCATGGAGAGAACTACATGGGCCGTCTCTTCAAGACTGGAAATGACCTCAGAAGGGAAGAGAGGGGAGTATTCCTTTGGGTGGAAAGGGGAGGAGACCAGATTTATCCAGAACCTCCTTCAGTCTCCATCTGTCCTCTGAAGTGTCCTTGCTAGGCACACTGAAAAGCTCATCTGTGGGGAAAAAAGCAAAGATGGCTTCCATCTTGCAGGCTTCAAACTGGCAGGACACTGGAATCTCGGAAGCTGCCAGGTCAGCAGGTCATAGGATCATGGTAATTGTGATGTGGGAAGCATTTGTGGGGAAGGGGTTTCTGCTGGGAAGGGAAGGGCTCGCCTGCATTACTGAGATGCTCCCTGAAAAATCACTCTTGCCCTGCTGCATTTACGGGTTTTTTTTTTTTTAAGCCTGATTGCAGTTCAGTAGGGGTAATATGTATGCGTGTGAGTATGGCGGAGGAGAGAATGAATGGGCTCTGGCCAATCACACTGGGGCCCCACTCACTCTGATGTCCAGCCACTGCAGCCATACAGCCTGACAAGCTTGCCCAGAACAAATTTGGTGCTCAGGCTGGAAAAATTCTCCACCCTTGATCTATGTAGTTTCATCATTTGTGGGAAACACACATGGCATCTCAACACTCTTCCTTTTAAGGTAGCTCTGTCAACTTTCACGGCACCTGAGCCTGGAAGGGACAGCCCATCAGGCCAGCCCCACTGCGGAGCAAGGTGAGTCAGCGGCATCAGGTGGCAGGTGCTTGTGTGGAGGCACATGGCAGTGACGAGATGCAGAAGGGCAGCTCAAGTGTGTGCTGTGCAGAGTGCCCAAACAGCCTCCCCCCCCCGCCCTGCCGTGAACTCGCCTGTTCCTCTTTCCTCTTGAGATGGAAGATGATGTTCTGTTTCCAGCCTTGAAGTAAAATTTAACCGCCACTCCAGTCCGCTTCTGAGCCTTTTTCTGCGGTCTTTTGGCGCAGTGGGTGACCATGTCTTGGGCCAGCCCTACATCCCAATTTTTACTACAAGATAGTCATTCAATCCCATCCTCTTGGTTGGCTCCAGCCAGCCTAACAGTTTATTTTATTTATTTATTTATTAAAACATTTTTATGCCGCCCCATTCGCCGAAGCCTCGGGGCGGCTTACAACATAGATAAAACAAGTTAAAATCCATATAAAATAATCTTAATTAAAACTCACATTATAAAATAAGCCGCCCTGGCCAGATAAAATTCAATTGTATTTAGCATTTAAAATGTTGCTTAAATAAAAAGGTCTTAGCCTGGCGCCGAAAAACAAATAACGACGGCGCCAGGCGGACCTCTCTGGGGAGCGCATTCCATAACTTAGGCGCCACCGCTGAGAAAGCCCTTCTCCGAGTAGCCACCCTCCTAATTTCTCTCACGGAGGGCTCCCGGAGAAGGGCCTCTCCCGCCGATCTCAGGGGGCGACTGGGCAAATATGGATGTAAGCGCTCCTTCAGGTAACCAGGACCCAAGCCGTTTAGGGCTTTATAGGTCATTACCAACACCTTGAATTGGGCCCGGACTTCAATGGGGAGCCAGTGAAGCTGACGGAGAACTGGCGTCATGTGAACATAACGTCCAGTCCCCGTCAGCAGCCTGGCAGCTCTATTCTGAACCAATTGAAGGTTTAGAAGGTGGCTAGTGTGGCGCCATCTGGTGAAACTTAAGTGGAACCTGCATCTCATTTTATGCATGATCCTCGGTGTACTTGCTGTGAAGCTACTAAAAAATTAGAGTACTTCCCTATTGGAGAATCCTAAACTGAAATCAATTGTTTTCCCTTAGTGATGAGCAAGTGCCATCTCTCCTCTTCGCTTTTGGTGCTGGTTTATACTCACAGTTCCTGTCATAGCATAGGTATAGATTGGGCAGACCTTTGTACGATGGACAGAAACATCAGAGGAGACCAAGTTGCAGGAGGGCAAAAGCAATGCTATGGCCCAGAGATTTAATGGCAATTATTAATAATTATTTTTATCCTGCCTGTTTTCCTCTTGCAAGGAACCCTGGGAGACTTAGATAATCTTCCTCCTCTTCTCTATTTTTTCCTCGCAACAACCCTGTGAGGTAGGTTAAGTGGAGAGTCAATGACTGGCCCAAAGTCACCCAGTGAGCCTTGTGGTTGAGTGGTGACTAGAACCTGGATCCCCCAGGTCCCAGTTCA